GGTTTAGGGTTTAGGAGCCTTTAGGGGTTTAGGGTTTAGGGTTTAGGAGCCTTTGGGGGTTTAGGGTTTAGGGTTTAGGAGCCTTTGGGGTTTAGGGTTTAGGGTTTAGGAGCCTTTAGGGTTTAGGGTTTAGGGTTTAGGAGCCTTTGGGGTTTAGGGTCTAACACAACCAAACCCTGGCCGTACCGTTGGGGTCTATGTAAGGCGATAATGAAGATCAGAGATGCGTTGCAGTTTGCAGGGGTTTAGGCGCTTAGGGCTCCGGGCATCTAGAGTTCGGGGTTTAGGGAAAAAGTCAAAACAGCAGGCAGACGTGGAAAGCTCGTTATTGTGCAGACTGGCTTACAGTCACGGCTTAGGGTGTGGGCTTCACGGCTTAGGGCTTACGGTGTAGGGCTCTTCCACCTCAAGCCTTTACCGCCAGGCCACTCCCTTCATTGCAATCCGTCACTTTTTTGATGACCTCTTCATATGCCTCACCACCAGGCACCGACGCAACAGCTGTGGGGAAGCTTTTCCGCATGTAGTCGAGGCAATCGTAGCTCGCGTAGTACGTGAAAACGAGACCAGTGCCGGCCGTCCAGTCACACTCCGCGCGGAAACCTGGCTTCTTGTTTGTTTAGGGTTTAGGGTTGAAGGTTTAGGGTTTAGGGTTTCTTGTTCAGGCTTCTAGGTTTTCTTGCGAAGAGATCCCCTTATAGGGGCTTTAACAAAAGGGTCATGTAAGGATTTCGTCCTGTGTATATAGGGTGACACGGAACTTAGGAACTTGAATGAGCTTACCACAAAAAACAAGAGGAAAGCAGAAGTACATATAATAAAGACTATGTTATTTTTTCTAGACCATGCCTCCATATCATAATGGTATCTTAATTCAAGTTCCTGAGACCTAGAACCTGTAAAAAATAGAAGCCATCGAAAACCTATCAACCCCTTGCAAAATGCACACAAACCAAAAGCCCGAAAGCGATGATGACGACTACGACTACTACTACTACTACTACTTCTACTACTACTACTACTACTACTACTACTAAACGCAACCACTTCATCTAGAGCCCTTTTCTTTGAACCCCTAAACCCTAAACCCTAAACCCTAAACCCCTAAACCCTAAACCCTAAACCCTAAACCCTAAACCCTAAACCCTACCGTGTCTACATAAAGAAGCCCCGAGGAACCCGGATCTTCCCGCAGCTCCGGCGCGGCGAAGTGCAGGAGCCAGGAGGCTTTCGTCTGGCGTACGGCCTGCAACAGGAAAAAGACAATCGATGTTGATTTTAGGGTTTAGGGTGTAGGGTTTAGGATTTAGGGTTTAGGGTTTGGGGTTTAGGGTTTGGGGATTAGGGTTTAGGAAAAAAACAATCGATTTTGATGGATGGTGGACCATTTAGGGCACATAGATGCGTGTATTATGCATACATAACTGTATGTACATCTTTGGTCGACAAAAAACTTGAACCCTGAGCTCCAACAGGTCCAGATCTTTACGGTATTGTTGACCGACACCGCCAAGTCCTAAAGAGCAGCTTGCAGAAGCCTTAGGTTTGGGTGTCCCTAAACCCTTGCAAAAAGAATCTCAACCCCAATGGCCTTCGTGGGCATTGGCAAATACACTGCCATCGCCCACGAAGGGCCTAGGCCTAAACCTCAATGGCCTCTGGGAATCGAGCCCCAAGCCGAGCCGGGTTGAGGGTTGCGCATGGAAAGGTGCCTTTTGGGCGGGTGCTGCAGCTTTAATAATAATAATAAGAAGAAGAAGAAGAACAATACCAATAATAATAATAATTATTATTATAACAATAATCGTATATTATATTAACAATAATAATAAAATAATAAATGTTGACAGCTGGCAAGCCCCCGTGAATCTGCTCAGGGAACAGGAAGGACATCATGAACATCAGCCGACCGAGCATCATGTCATCTGGGGCCTTGGGGCGTAGGCCATGGAGGAAACAACTTGGGCCCACGTTTAGGGTTTAGGGTTTAGGGAAATAACACCTAAACCCTAAACCCTTTGGATCCCGTAAACATTGTGCCCCATGTTGTACTTTGCTGCATCTTCAACTTCAAGGTGTGCGCGTTGTTGAAACCTACATACATAAGTTAACATAATCTGTCTCTGGCTTTGGCGCAAACATCACCATTCTAATACGAAGGCTAAACGCTTTGTGGGTATCCCAGGATAGCATGTTGGATATCTCTAGCTCATTTGGGTCAGTCTGTTAAGTACTCTCATATACCAGCCCGCCATTCACAGTATCGCGTCGGCTTCGTAAAACTACAGTCATCGCGACTGAAATGCTTCTTCAGCTTAGTCCACGGATTGGGGCATCAGGTTCGTGCTCCAAAAGGACATCCGAAGGGTGGTGTTTATGGGATCCGAAGCGTGGGTCGGAGACATAGCGAACTTGACTACGCATGCTCGAACTCGAGGTGCTAAACCCTAAACCCGAAACCCTAAACTCTCTAAACCCTAAACCTTAAACTCTAAACTCTAAACCCTAAACCTTCAAACCCTAAACTCTCTAAACCCTAAACCTCAAACTCTAAACCCTACACCACCCCGAAACTCTAAACCCTATACCCTAAACTGCCGACCTCCAAAAGGAAATCCCGGTCGGCTTTGAGCTCCTCGGACATGCACATGGCTCTCTTGGAGAAGGCTTAAACAACCCCTGATGCCTCCCGTAAAGGTTTAGGCGGTTTAGGGTTTAGGGGTTTGGGGGTTTAGGCGGCTTAGGGGTTTAG